CCTGGAACATAGGCATGCTTACAGACGCCCGACAATAGCTGTATTTCTCGACCTGAAGGCGGCATTTGACTCCGTTGATCGAGAAGTCTTATGGCAGTGTCTGTCACTGAAAGGCGTGCCTAGTAAGTACATCACCTTATTGAAAGCTCTCTACTCGAACACTTGTGGGCATGTTAGAGCCTATGGTGAGTTGTCCAGGGAGCTATACTCATCAAGTGGTGTCCGTCAAGGATGCCCACTATCCCCATTCTTATTTAATTTTATCATAGATATTCTTATGGAGGTTTCCCTCTCGTCACCTAATTACAAAGACGTTGACCGGATCACAGGTGAATTTTCCTTAGATCTAGAATATGCAGATGACATAGTCCTGTTAGGTGAAGACGCTGACAAGATGCAGAGTCTTCTGAACACTTTGAGTGGGAATTTGAGAATGTTTGGGATGCGATTTTCACCACCCAAATGCAAATTTTTGCTCCAGGACTGGTCTTCAGCGGTACCGCGGTTAACAATAGAGAGTGAAGTGGTTGAGTGTGTTGACCACTTCACTTACCTGGGAAGTAGGATCAACCCGGTGGGTTAGTTGCCGATGAGATTTCTGCACGGATACAAAAGGCTCGATTGGCTTTTGCCAATTTGCGCCACCTATGGCGCCGCCGTGATATTCGTTTGTCTATTAAGGGTCGCGTGTACTGCACAGCAGTCCGCTCTGTTCTACTGTATGGCTGTGAAACATGGCCATTGAAAGTGGAAGACATGAGAAGGTTACAGGTATTTGACCACCGTTGCCTTCGTAGTATAGGACGTATTCCGTGGTGTCACCATGTGAGTAATGCAGAAGTTAGGTGTAGAGTTTTAGGGAGAAGAGGTAAGTCAGTCGACGAGGTTGTGAACCTTCATCGACTGAGATGGTTGGGACACGTACTACGTATGCCTAGTCACCGATTGCCTCGTCACACAATGTTGGCTGAGGTGGGTTCAGGCTGGAAAAAGGCCCGAGGTGGCCAGACTAAAACATGGCACCAATGTATGAAGTCTCTGACTGTTGGTTTAAGCCATGTAGGACGATGCAGACTAGGTGGTTGGGGTCCACGGGACAAGAGGAACCAGTGGTTGGAGACCCTAGGTGATATGGCTCAGAACCGAAGTCAGTGGCGCAGATGTATACACACATTATCCTCATCTTAACAACGCTATACCGAATCTCACTATTTTGTCACTCCTCTTTCCTTTCTTCTCATACTTTATATTTCTTTTGACTGCATTCACTTATCTTCATCCTTCACCTCACTACCTTTTTACTTGATGTGCTGATATGAGGTGTGGCAACTCGGACCGTTACGCAGTAATGCCTGGTCCTATGTTGATAATGATGATGATGATGACCTAGAAACGGCTTGATTCGGCGTATTGGATCCAACGTGGTTTTCTTTAACTTTATTCATAATAGTGTCCATTGGTTTCTTAGCTTCTTCGTACAGTCCTGTTTCGATGTGTTCATTGACTTTCTGAGCAAAACTGTTTAACAGTATTATTGAGTTGCCTTTGTCCGATCACCCCTTAGCCCGCTCTCAGTAGATTCTCTCCTGGGAAAATTAGAGAATGAAGCTGAAATTCAAGAGTGACACAACTCATAAAAAGAACCTTGCAAAGAGCATTCCTAGACGCTAAATTATGTCCAATCTTCTACAACTGCACGATTCTAAGCGCGAAATATAAAGACAAACTCCCTGATTCTGTCACTTCCATGTGCATTTATCAGTTCAACTGCTCATGTGAAGCTAGTTACAATGGGCGTAAAATGAGGCAGGTCCATCGCCGAATTTCTGAGCACTATCCATCATGGTTAAGCAAAGGACAAATTATAACAATAAAGAGCTCCATACTTCCATGTTTATTTGACACTGGACATCAAGTGAATACTAGAAAAGCATTTAAAATTATTCATCATATACTAGTTAATTTACCACACAGATTACGCATTCGCTTACTTCACATAGCAGAGGTGATCGCAATTCACCTTTACGACCATAACTTTTATATTCAAAAGAAGTTTGTCCCACTACTATTATTACCGTGACCGTCAACATGATGTAACGTTTAGTACTACTTTGTACATCTCTTCCTCCTCTTGTTTCCATGAGTATTTATTTGCTTTCATATTCTTGCACAATTATTTATTGTTTATAAATGAACACTAGTTAAAAGTACTCCGTTTACTTTACCACTTACTATGGCATTGACCTAGGAATAACTTGCTTCATATCATTATAATTATCATTTTTAACTACTCAACTAATTATTCGCATCTTAATTTCTCAAACTTATCATCATGACTTAAATAAAATCTAAAATTACTGTTTATCAACTCTCTATTACCTGATTGGTACTTTTATTGAATTTTAAACCTACATATTAGTGTATAGCCCCAGATGAAAGCCTGATTGAAAAGGAATATATTTATTCTTTCCATCAGTCTTTTTTCTAAGACTAAGTAATTTATAGACCGTTATATCATCAAGGTGACAATTTATGCTTCGACTTTTCGTTTTCGATAAAGTTAGATTAATTAACAGACCAACGAAATCAACGTAGAAACTGACACAGAAAGACAGTTGTCCAGATTGCCACACTTCCCATCAGCATGCAACTAACAAGTGGGCAGAAAAAGAATGAAATCGGAGGAGAGATAACTGTATAGAAGGAGAAAGGATTTTTAAAATGAAGGGTATTCGAAGTGGTCAAATATTCCAAGATGTCAAACGGTGAATACCTCCACACAATTCTAACTGATTTTCAGCAGTGTCACCAAGAATCTCCAACCACTGATTCATATTGTCTTAAGGACCTCAGCCAGACGATATACATCTTACATGTGACAAAACAAAAGTCAGACTTCATGATACTACGCCTTGTTCTGGCCTCCCCTAGCCATCTTCTAACTCAATTCTACTTCGTCTAGCATCCATGTTCACTTAGGCATCCACCTGTCACATGCAACATACACAAACCGTCTCACCCGCTGAATGCTTACAACCTCACCAAATGACTGTTAACGGCCACATCTTACAGCTGTATAATATGACAGAGTGTAATGAGGTACCAAATATTCATCCTTTAATAAGTAGTCGGATATCTCGCCAGTCGGCGTCCGAATTGACGCCAGTTACCAAATACCAAAAGGGCGTTTTGTATCGCGACACATTTTCACCAGCAACCAATCCATTTGTGAAGATGAAACTCCAAAAGTAAGTGAGGTGGTCAATGTATTCAACTACTTCACTGGATACCCTTGAGTTCGTGCAGACCAGTCCTGTGGGGTCATCCTACATTTGGCAGGTGCGACATGCATAAAAAACATACTCAGATTTATACTCAAGGCATTCAGAAGACCTAACATTCTGTGAGCATCTACACGTAGTAGGATAATGTCGTCTGCGTACTCCAATTCAACCAAATGTCGTTCAGGGAGTAAATCAGTAGGTGTGAAGTCATAGGTACCCAGGGTTACATACATTGGTTCATCTATGACGAAGTTAAACATGAACAGAGACAGTAGTTATCTCTAACGGACACTACTAGTTGTCAACACTTCACATGAAAATTCTCTAGATACCCATACACGACTGCGTGTCTAAGTAAAGAGTTCTGATTACCGTTTTATAAAACTATGCTTCAGTGATCTGCCTAACTTTTTAACCACATATAAGGGGCCCATAGTAATATCTAGTGGCTTACAAGAATCCTAATTTGGAGTCAAAGCAATATAAGTGTTAAAAATGAAAGTCACTTGATTTCAGACTGTGATGAGTTTTTAGCATAGTACCACACATCCGAGTAATACGTACCTCTAGTCGATCTCAAGAAAATCTCGTGATACCATTAAACATTTAAAGGAATTTTATGTACTGTTTTCAACTGACTGATATACGGAAGTGTAAACCAATAAACCTGACGATCGTTTGGGGCTGGGCACTACTGACGAGTGTCAAGCTAGAATGAAACAGATATCACGAAGTTCTCAGTGGCAACATGGCGGATACCAGCAGTAGGTTCATTAGTTTATTTTGATTCCTCATAGAAATAATCTTCATATAACGACTTTTAAAGTCATGAGATGAATATGTTCAAACTTTCCAATACAATTTAACCAGCTATCATATACTTCAATACATTAGTGTAAAACAAAGACTCTTCGTAAGCATCTTCACTGCAACATACTGACCCATTTGAAATATACTTATGCAGTTACTTCAAGGTAGCAAAATGCTTGAGAAATTAGCCTTGCCCATAAGAGGATATCTTCCATAAAGTGGAGTCCTACAATCGGTGTATAAGAGTTCGTTTGCTGAAAACAAGATTGTGGTTAACAACTTTGCTACTAAGGTAATTACTGGCTTTTGTATACTTACTAAGTTCCAGTATACATATAGTGATTTGTATACATCCATTATTGATAAAATTATAAAAGTATCCGTTTATAAAAAAGGAATCTGGTAGACCACGATAAAGATGAAAATTGTTTGGTTTTCTGACCTATCGTATTCGGTCGTAGATGTTTCATCATCACGAATAACGTATGCGTGAAATAAGTGATGATGATATCTGCTAATGCGTAGTGAGTTGCAATTATGAGATAGAATAGGGTAGCACAAAATTAGTTTTGAATTGAAAAGTGGTAGAATGTCCTATTATAAGTAAACTATATTTCCGGATTTTTCATTTTTGAGTTCCAGTTAAGCAATGAATCTACGACTTTAGAGACCATGATGGCCAAGCTACTTATATTATGGTTGCTACTAGAGAATTTCCCTTATCTCTTTTCAGCTGAGGCAATTAGCAATTAAGACCCGACGGATGAAATCATTTCTGATACATGCTTCATCAAAAAGTATATTTGTGTGTTACACTTAAATACCTAATTTTTGTAGTTGGTCATTTTGTGAATTCTTTTTTAAAAGATGAATTATTCACTCGATACTAATAAAGCAACTGTTTTTAATTTCAATATGTATTTATCGCAAATTTTAGAGTATTCTCGAGGATTGGGCAATCGCTGATCCTCTACCATTGGAAGAATTTATAAAAGGTAATACACATTGCAACAAAATCATGCTTTATATTATTTTCTATAGGAAAAAAGCCAGAAGAAATCAAAGACGATGAATATGAGGCACAAAATACCGAAGAACTTTAAAAAATAATTCAACGAAAAACAAAATAAAAGTGACACTGCCTTAAAACTGAAAATAAAAGATTATTTTCCAAAACGCAGATTTAAAGTGGTCAATATAAGAGATACTGGTATAAAGCAATGAAATATTAGTTGGATAAGCATAAAATATCCTAACTGTTTTTCTCCAAAAAAAAGAAGTACCAGGTTTGATTTCAACGAAATGTTTGAAACTGTCTAGTTTATGCATACACAATAGGCAATTACAATTAAATCACAATAAAATGGTTTTAAAAGAAAGCAAGAACATATTTAATGCGATTCATAGTTCTGATTTGCGTACAAGATTAAATTTTTAGATCGTCAGAGAAACACTACAACTGAAGTGTAGAGAATATATACCGTGATCTTATTGTACCTTCCGACTGAGCTTTTTCGACTTATCAACTACTGGTCTCGGTTTATTGTCAGCTGCGATATGACGTTGGTATAAACTGATTAAAAGCAAACAAACAAATTCATATATAATAAATGTTGGGGTTAGTACAAATTAGATAATAATGAAAAATTACATCATGCAAGGGAGTGTGTATCATTTATTATCACACTTTTATGTCCTTTTCTTCGACTTAAACCTCGAAAAAAGCATAAGTTTCTTCAAGATCGCAAACAGACCTAAATAAAGATTTCTAACAAACATGAAGTTTGGTTTACAGTTCCTTGAAGATTTCACTGCAAGCATTCAAAACAAAACACTTTGGTTCAGAAAATCTAGGGAACCGGAATTATTCGGTTAATTCTCAACATATCAAAACTAAGATCGTTACAGATGCCAAATAAATTTTCATTTCCCATATTCACTGCTGTATTCATCATTCTCCGCCTATCTACTTTAGGCAAGCAGCTCTTTAACGCGTTTCTTTTATCTGTAGCATACACTAGTAGCAGCAGGATTGAAAAGACAAACAGTAGTTATCTCTGAAGCAACCATCATCAAAAGTTTTTACAAACTGAAATATAATTCGAAGAAAAGTATGAAACATGAGGTAATGCAATTGTCTGGTAATTAGTCAGTGAAAAATAATAGATAATTCTTGAAACTTCTAGGTATCCAACAACTTTCGTCTTCAGTATTTTTATAATAAAGAATTATATGAGACTTAACTGAACTCTATCAATAGTTGATGACATAACTACGAAAGGAGCTTACATAAACCCATTGCAACAAGATTAACAACACTACCGGACCAAAATGCTTGGTAAATGAAGTCAGGTTTCAACCCGAAGAAGGTAATTGGAAAAGTGAATACTTTAATCAATAAGTGAGAATCTGACAACCGCAAACTAGTGTATCCGGGTGTTACCACTACCACTTTCAAGCACTTCTATCCGTTATCACAAACACAACTAGCCCCCCCCCCTAACTTATATTGATAAACTCAATATTAACCGTATTACGATTACATTTCCTTACTGAGCTTTGAGTTCAACTACAAAATGAGCATGATTAACCAATAAGTGGATGTATTTCAATGAGGATTTCGGAGTACCGAAAAGTAGCTGGATTATTCACCAAGCTGGTAACACTTGTTTGTCTTCAGTATCAATATACAGGCTTGGAACAATTTGCTCAGTTAGCAAAGAATTTCTAAATTTGGTTGAACGGACAATCTTATTCGAATTCCAATACTTTGTGTAAACTCCACTTAATTTGAGTTTAAAAAACCAACAGGTAGATGCAAGTCATGTGGGTCGCCACCACAACAAAGATATAAAGTTGTGATAATCTTACATTATCTCAAAATATGACGTTTGTTAGTAACTTGCTTCGAGATGAGATTCCCGAAGTTCTAATAAGAAGTTGTAACCGGTGGGGTGAACCAAGTCAAATGTGAGGACAGTTACTCAACGACGGTATCGGATGGAGATCGCGCTATATTCTGAAGTGACAGAAGTAAGGAATGTGGACCATCAGATTTCCATTCAGTGGCTCAATGGCAACATGTTGGCCGCGGGACCTAAAGTTCCTGGATGCGTACTGCTTAGGAGTCCCGTACTAGTACGAAACAGCTGTCCAGTGCACCCAGGGTTCTAATGTTTCTCCAACTGATGTCAGCTTATAATGAATATCAACCTGAAATCAATAAATGAATCCCCACAAACGTCCAAATTGAAAAAAGGCAATTTAGAACAAATAATTTGATAATTCTAAACTTACAATTTATAGGTCTCAGATCGAATATAGTCAAACACATGAGAAAGACCAACTTGTAATTGATCTTCGATTGGTGAAACCCAATCATTACCTGACAGTTTTGCTACCTGTTTAGGTCCGCAAAGATCGAGCACACCTTCAACATAAAAACAATACGGTTTTACAAGATCTTTCTATTAGTTGAATGATTAGTCATTTATACAAAATAGTGAATAGTATGAAAACATTTAACGCTCTTACCGTTCGTCTGTTAGCATCGATTTCTGTCATCTGGAGTGGTGTGAAAAACATTACAATCACTCCACCCTGATTCCAAATACACTAAGACAAAATTAACAGATGTAGTTATTTCGGCATAACTAGATAGTGTGAATTCACACGTGAAAAATTTTATGTACGCATTCAGGTCTCTACGGTGGGAATATAAGAATTTATGCATTTCGTATCGACTAACCACTTATGTATATTGAGTAATTGTTTAAACCTGAACCAACTCATCGAAGTATATTAATCATGAAGAAGAAATGAACTGATTAATATAAAACATGACAAATCGGTGACACCATCACCATCGAGATCAATATAGAACCAGGCATTATTACGTAACGGTTCAGGTTGCCACAACTCATATCAGCACATCAAGTAACAAGGAGGTAAAATGGAAGATGAAGAAAGAAAAATAGATAAAAGGAGTTGAAAGTAGTACAAGAGAAGGAAGAGTGAGATTAAGCATAGCGGTTGAGATGAGGATAATCTGTGTATGCATCTGCGCCAGTGAAATCGGTTCTGAGACATATCACCTAAAGTCTCTAACCACTAGTGTCTTTTGTCCCATAGACCCCAACCGGTTAGTCTGCATCACCTACATAGCTCAAACCAACAGTCACGGACTTCATGCACTGATGCCACGTTTTAGCCTGGTGGCCCAAAGCCTTTTTTCAGCCTGAACCTACTTCGGATAACATTGTGTGATATGGCAGCCGGCGGCTAGGCATACGTACCATATGTCACAGTCATCTCAGTCGATGAAGGTTCACAAATAGTTATAACCCTGCAAAAGAGTTAAACAAAGCATGAGGGGGTGTGATGGTCATAAAGAGCACTGCTTATTATCATGTATGCAAGCATATGCATAGCTATAATGTCTCGGATTCACCGATTCGAAAATATTTTACCATGGCAGAAATTCTGTTTCATACTAACAAACTTCATCTAAGACACAACCCTGAAGTGCTCAGAAGTCGATATCAAATGAATCACTTGCACGCTTTGAGTCTTGCTCGGTCTTCTTAACTTATTTTTTCTAGAAGCGGTTAAGTGTTGAATAACATATGAAAAAGGGATTTTTAAAGTTATATTAGACAATAAAAGGTAAATTCATTCGTCTAGCAATGGAGTTTTGCTAATTTTCGAAATCAATATCTAAACAGCCGCTTCTAAACCAGTGAATAATGGTTTCGATTACATTCAACTTAGCATGACCAATTGGAAAGTAGTAGGAGACCTTACACGACAGATGTAACCTAATACCTAGTACTTGATACTGTTGGCATAAAAATTAAGATCAAACAAGCAGCACGTACTAATGGTTTCAACTTACCTAACTCAGGAGGTAGAACCGCAAGGCGATTGTTTTGAAGATGAAGTTCTTTCAGTCGGGTAAGTAGACATATTTCTGCCGGTAAGGCCACAAGATCATTATCCCGCAGCGCTAACTAATTTTTTGATTCAATAGAAATAAGAAAATCTTACTATTTCCAGATTCACAAGTTTGCCAATGCCTGGTGGAATATATTCAAAATCATTGTCCGAAAGATATAATGCTCTAAGTGTTATTAAATTGAAAAAGTTGTCGGGTAGACTAGTTTCTCGTAAGTTATTATATGTTAGGTCAAGAATTTCCAAAGAAGGGAAAGCACCGAAACCGCGAGGTAGAACAGATAGTTTATTCATTCTTTTATTTCCATAGTGAATTATATAACACAGTACCTACCCAAGGTTTAAGGAACGTAAGTACGTCAGCTCCACAATTTTCGGAGAGATATTCTAAAAATATTTTCAACATCACGAAATAGTCCATACCACGATGCAATTGTTAAAAAGATTAAGGTGTTCCAAACCTTGCAGTGTCGATATCTCCTGGGGTATTTCTGAACAACAAATTAAGGAACTTTGATGGTGACTAACCTGTAATTTTATTATGAGCTAAAGTTAGAGAACGTAAGTGTTCCAGTTTTGCTAAACAAAATCAACAGTTAATAAATTGAAAAATATTTACCTAGTTCAGGGATGTAAGGGATTGAAGTCAAATCCTTGCGAATAGCTTCTAAAGAATGCTCTTTTCCTTCGCGAACATCTTCGATTTCTTTGCGAAAAGTTTTTAATCGGCCAGATATCATTTTATCAGATGAAACTATTTTATTTAAACCATGACCAGCAATCTATCGCAAAAGTGTGGAAAAAATTTAAGGCATTAAAAAGTAACCAAATACAAGACATTTCATTTCCACAAGGATACAGCCAAATGGTAAAAATACAGAACTTTAACATAGTGATGCAACCGATCAAATTAATTCTCTGCAGTGAAACAACAAACCTGGAGAGACTAAACAGTACTCTGGATTCAAAATTACGACCGGAACTGGCTGACTTCAGGAAGAACCAATCATATGCGGGCCAAATTCCGATACTGCACTAGGCAACACCACAGAACAGAGCACAGAACGGTTAACAGACGAATCTTCACATAAAATTCATTCAATCTGAAAACGCCTTCAACAGCGTCGACAGAGGAGTAATTTGACAACCAGCTGCTTCAACACTACAGAGCACCACAAGCGTTTATCAGCCTCAATCAACAGCTATATGACGACGCCATATGCCAAGTGATTCACAATGGAAGGCTCAGTGGCACCTTTGAAGTGAAGACAAGGCTACCGCTTATCATCACCGATGATCTTCCTGATTGTGGTCGACTGAACTGGATCATGTAGCAAACGTGAGGAGCAAGAAGACGGGCATACGATGGCTGCACCGATGAAAAGACTTCAGAAGATTTGGATTTCGCCGATGATTTGTGTCTAATATCGCACAAAATCAAAGATCTACAGGCAAAAACCAACAAGTTGACAGAAAAGGAGAGGCATGGAAAACGGGACTTCAAGTGAACGTGGAGAAGACAGAGATGATGAAGATACCCGACCAAAAACGACAACAACAAGGCACCAATAACCATCAACGGGACAAACTTAAAGGAAGTAGTCTTTTTTATCTACCTAGGCAGCATCAGTTTTAACCACTGGTGGCACTGATGAGGACGTCAAAGCCAGCCAGGATCGGATACACGGCAAGACAGGCCTTTAATAACCTGAAATCAGTGTGGAGACCCATTGCATTCAGCATAAAGTGTGAACAAGATCCTGATTTTTCAACACTAACGTCGGTCAAGTCAGTGCTTCTATGTGATGGTTCAGAGACTTGGTGAATCACGAAACGCACTTCCAACGAACTACAGGCATTCATCAACAGCTGCCTACGCTGGCTTGTTACTGAAGATCAGATGGCCAGAAATAATAAGCAACAAGGAACTCTGGTAGTGAACCAACCAAGAACCTATCACTCAACAAATATGCAGAAAGAAGTGGAGATGGATTGGGCATACACTGAGAAGGCCGACTGGGGACATCACGCACCAGGCCAGTTGCTCGAGTGAAACCCAAAGGGAAAACGACGAGTAGGGCGTCCGAGGCGAGGGTGACATGCAGGAGATCATGTGAGGAAGATATGAAAGCTTGTGGGAAGTCGTGGAGCCAGGTTCAAAAGAATGCGAGAACAGAGTGCAATGTAGATGTGCTACTGAAGCCTTATGTTCCACTAGGAACCCAAGGGAAAAATAATAATAAAATAAGGAAGAGAAAAGAGTACAGAACAAGTAGTCAGACATACAACAGGAGACAAAAAAAATTAATTTATGGATATTTCCAGGATTTTCAGATGCTCAAATGAATCCCACAACTGCTACATGCAGTTTAGTCGTAGGAAGTGAACTTTTTAATCACCACATAGGCCTAAACCGTGAAGACCATATCAACTTACACGAAAGCTTTAAGGATGGGCATATGAACACAAACGCTAATTATAATTAACGACCAGTAAATTAAAAGGGGAAAATAGGATAGAAGAACAGGAACGTGGATCAGTCAGTTTTACAGTGGGACCTGAAAATGCTGCGTGACTTTTCAAGTTGATACACTGGAAACAATGCAACTACATAAGGCAGAACGAAAATAGCTTGGAAGGCGGCAAGACGAACAAAATGTGATGACTAAAATGACGATGACGGTACACACTCAGCCACCTTGTGTATATGCATGCAGTAGGCAGTGAGTCATACTTATTGTGTGAAGGTTAGTGATACTAATACGCTGTCCAAACCTCGGTAGGTGGGGCAGGGCTCGGATCCATGCGTAAAATCAAAGTAAGACAAGAACGGACCTCCACTGAAGAGATTTATTTTCAGTTGTTTCATATGGCTTTTAACTACCGCTTTGAATGTTTTCTGGAGAACAGTCTAGAAACCTACACGGCTCTGATCGACGGTGATAGGTTTCATGAAATGATGTTACTTTTATTCCAGTCACTTGTAACCTTATTCCAAGCTACACCTACTTCAGATAAGTGTTGAGGTAGACGACGACTAGGTATGTGTGACCCGACTTAGGACCCCAAAGTCGTTATAGGTCTACGACTTCATCAACTGACTTGCTTCTCTTACCAAGGTTTTTGCAGAGTAGCTTGTTGTCTGGCTTGATGAAAACTGAAGGCATTGAAGTGTAGTTTGCAGCGGAGTCTAACGACACCAAGGATGTTATCTCCTCAGCTCAAATCATCAATATAAGTTGCAAAGTTGGAAGTTACGGAGAGTGTAAAACTATTGTCAGAGAAATTCGTAGGAAAATGAGATAGCAACGATGAGAAAGGTTGATGGGAATCTGGTGTTTTCCGTGACCAAGGTCATCTAAGGGTACATAAACGACTAAATTTTCAGTTATAAGGACCATTCGGTTGCAGTAAGTATACTTCCAATCCCATTTTCTTCTGGTGTCAGCTGAATATTGCTCTGAGAAGTCATTGTTCTATCATTAATCGTATCGCGTCGAAGCATTATATAGTTATATACGCGGCAGATCATAACAGAAGGGGCTTGAGTACTGAAAAGTATAACGGCAATGGCACATAACAGTCACTCTCATCGTGAAAGATCAACATTTCTTTAGGTAATTAAAAAAGGAAGTAGGTTGGGATGGATAGTTTCCTGACCGATGGCTGCTAACTTTAACGTGGTGATCAGGATTACGTATCACAATAAGTTGGTGAGCTAAGCCGACCGGAAAGCTTGTTCCTTTAGGCCCTACCACCCCAGAAGTGTCTGATGGATAGTGGTAAGATACAAAGCAGTTACTCTTATGGTGTACTATACTACACTATGATAGGATCAGAGGGCGAAGCTGTACTTTTGTGTGACGAAAAGCGGTTACCGTTGTAGTGTAAACTGTTACACTATGATGGGGGGTCTGAGGGTGAATTCATAATGCTGGCTGAACGGGGGTGACAGCAGTAAGGTGTTTCCATTACATGACTAGCAGTGCCCACGCCGATGCCGCCTTCCCTATAGGAAGGGGAAGGTTTGAAAAGCTTGGCCCAAAAAATTGCAGGCTCTCCCCTACCCCACGGTGTTTTGGTGCCGGTATGAGTTTTCGCTATCCGGCGTTAGAACAAGCAAATCTGGAAACAACAAACCCCACAATGTTGTATGTGGCAGGCTTCAAGTAGACGCCCCATAGGCTCTGCAAGCACAGAAATATTTTCCTCTTTCAGGTATATTAAGAAGAAATAGTCCTCTAAAGTGTGGGCAGACGGGAAGTACTAACCGCCTACATGCTTCCAGTGGTAAACAAGACAGCCTATTCTCCTCAACTCCGTCTCCTTCGCCTTCACCTTCTGATACCAATGTTAGGCCCCTTAAACCTCCCCAAACTCTTACTCTGCGGCTGTTGACAACGATCAAAGCCATCGAAATCTCATTCTTAGTCTTCTAAGACCCCGCCGCCGATTTCATATTGGGGCTTTCGACATCCGAACTTTGCCAAATCGGACAGCAAGCATTGGTGGCCATAACTCCGAAATCTCGATCCATGAATGTATGCTGCGTCTCTGAGACATGTATGCAAGGACCGAGTGTGGTTATTAAATTCACCTCATCTCGTCATAGTAGGGAATCTTCAAAATTCACCTTAAGAGTATCCGGAAACCCAGTAGCTAGGTCTCGTGGACTTGCTGGTGTAGCTACAGCATTGAGTTGTAGAGCGGAATGTGTGCTTCTAGGCTGCATACCAGTAAACAATCGTCTATGTGCTGTTCAACCAATGGATCTATAAGAACTAGGAAGGTTCGTGAGACCAACCGATGCCTATTTTTCATCCCCGCCTACGCATACATAGACTGCAGTTCGGATGATGCAAAGGATGAATTATATGAGCTGTCAATTTTGCCACAGAAAGCAAAACGTCCAGACATAGTCATGATGGCAGGTGACCTTAACGATCAGGTAGGAAAACTGAGCCAATCGGAGAGGCATCTTGAGGGGTTTTTACGAAATCTCACGCCAACAAACCGACAACGGTGGTCGTCTGTTGCAGTTTTGTTCCGACGACCACTTGTCTCTGCCCAGCACTAATTTCATGCATGAGGATAGACACTGCCTCACATAGCATCTGCTGACAACAAACCAACGATGGACACAGGTGGACTATATTACTATAAGCCATCGTTGGAGAGGACTAGTAGAGGATTGCCGCTCTTTCAGGAGTACCAGTTCGGACTCCAACCACGAGCTAGTACGGGCTTGTGTATGTCTATGGCTTACTGGTCGCAGGAAACAGGCGATAGTAGGGCTTGTCTATGGTTGATTGGACGATGAAGACATCAAATACGTATTTAAGGAGTTAGGTAAACATTTATTTGAACATGACAGCAATGCTTATCTTGTGGGAGCCTGGCGTGATATTAGGTCGGCTGTAGAAACAGTGGTAAAAAGAGCTGGTAAGGTTAACAAACGTCATTGGATTTTCGCAACGCCATCCAAACTGACTGATGCTAGGTAGCTGATTCCAGCTGAGTCTGGCCACAATGAAAAGCTAAGGAAATACAGAAGTAAATTGACTGAGTCTTCGCAATAATCGCGAGCAGTGATGGGTAGCTAGAGCAAATGAAATGGAGAAGATACTGGTGTTGGGTAACAGTCGGCAACGATTTAGGCTTATCGTGGATGCCGGCAAGGCGATGGTTAGTGAAATCATCACCGAGAAGGATGGAACGCTGATAATCCCCCAGGGTAAGCGGCTAGAACGTTTCGCAGAACACTTGTAAGCACAGTTTAATTGGCCCTCAGCAACGCTCCAAGTGTACAACATTCAGCTTGGACCTGGATGAGACACTGATGTCGGTCCTCCATATCTCCTTGAAGTTAAGGCTGTTTTAAAGTTTGTCACCCGAAGTTTTCAAGGATGAAGGTAGTAAATTGCCAAACAGTGACGAAGGTACTAGGTAGCGTGCGGAAATCAGATGTAGTGTCAGGCTAGTCTACTTCACTGATCATAATCTATAAGACAGGAGAGAAGTCTTCCTGTGACAACCATAGGGGAATTAGTTTCACCAATATTTCTTCTAAGATCCATAGTTATCCGAGGCCTAACTGAAGCTTGAAAACAGCAAACTCATGGAAACCAGACACGTTTTAGACATTGACAGGGGGACATCGGTCATATTTCCACCTCTGACAGGTTCTGGAGCACAGACATACTTGTCGGCCCCCAAACGCTTGCCATATCTCTTGACCTGAATGGGGCATTTGACTCTGTCAACCGTGGCATTGTGGCAGTGTCTGATCATGAAGGGAGTACCGAGCAAGTATACAGTGCTTATTATAGCTCTCTACTAGAGCTCACGCAGGTGTATAGAGGCTTACGGACATTTATCACCAGAAGTGATGACAACTAGTGGTGTTCACCAGGAATATCAGCTGTCACGTTCCTATTTAGTTTCGTTACAGATGTACTAATGGACATAAGCTAAGGTATGTCTGAGTGCACGCGGACTGATCTACTACCTAAAGGCCATACAGTTGACTTAGAGTATGCAGAAGATATTATCTTGCTAGATGAAGACGCTGACGAAATGCAGGGTCTTCTGAACACGTTGAGCAGAAATCTGAGTAGGTTTGGCATGTGGCTTGTACCTGTCTAATATGAAATGCTCCAGGACCGGTCTGCAACCACTCCCAGTTTAGTAATGAAGTGAAGATGTGGAATGTATCGACTACTTCACTTACTCAAGAAGTTGGATCAACCCGAACGTGCTGGTTGGTAACGAAATCTCGCCTAGGGCACAGAAGGTCTATTTGGCGTTTTCTAATTTGCGTCACTTGTGGTGACAGCGAGATATCCGACTATCAGTCAGAGAACAAGTATGCTGAGCTGCATCTCAGTTTGCCCTGTTATACAGCTGACATGGCCGTTATAGACAGAAGACATGAAGCGGTTACAGGTTTTCGACCACAGGTGCTTCTGCAGTATCGCTCGCGTTTGATGGAATCACTATATGGGCAACGTAGAGGTCAGGTGAAGAGTACTAGGCAAGACAGGCAAAGCGATTGATGAGGTTGTGAACTTTAGTCGACTGAGATGGCTTATGCATGTACTGTGCGTGCCGAGCCACCACCTACCTCGACATGCTATACTACAGGAAGCCGGATTAGAATGGAAGAGGGTTCAGGGTGGTCGGATCAAGATGTGGCTCCAGTTCACGGAGTCTTTGATTTCTGGTCCAAGCCATGTGCGGAGACGTAGACTACCTGGCTAGAGCTCACGAAAATGATGGGAATCAATGGTTGAGAACTCTTGGTAAAATGGCTGGAAATCAGTCACAATAGCGTAGATGTATTTATTCTTCGGCGTCTTCTAAAGCTTAAATATTTGCACTATCTGTTGTCTTCAGAGATTCTTCTTATACAGTTAGATATAATTTAATATACCAAACCTGTAATGATTGCGAGGTGAAATACTTAGGTTAGTCAAGCTATCTAAACCCAGAATATAGGCAAATCGAAATTGACATTCTGATGTGATAATGAAAACGGAAAACCTCGGCTATGGATAGGCATGAGATTGCACGCAATCACATAACAGGGTGGGACAGAATGATTACGGAGAGCTGACTTGGTTGCGTAAAGGAAGGTACTGACATGCATACAAAAAGAATGATACAGCACCTATCCCCAGAACACTAAAAATCCTACTATCCTGGTGACAGGAGATAAAGCCAAATATACATTATTTTAGATTTGAAGTTAACTGATACTATTATTGACACTTAACTGTTTGAAACGTTACCCGGTAAATAATACTGTTTTATTGCAGCGCAAACTTAAATGGAGTTACAATCCAAACGCTGTATTTCACGCAGCTCAATGCAACTAGACAGAGTGCAAATACCATATGCACGACGAAGGCGACTTTTCTTACCTTCCATCTGCTTTGGTGCGTATTAGACTCATAAAACAGCTCTTCGGACATATGAAACACACGTCTTAACGCAAATACATCACCTCAGTATCTTACTCATAACAATAAATCTCACGAACAAAATGGTATCACTAAAACTCACTAGAAACCAAAAACCCCGCTGTCTTTAGTTTTTCGTTGACATGAATTTCCGAATGCCAATGAGTCTAATCCCATCTCGAGATTTGATTAAGAGCCAGTTAACGTGTTGGCTCTTGCTTCTTCATACTCCTTACTAGATTCGAGTTCAAAGTCAATTCCATACAGTATATTTAGACATTCATCTACTGACTCCTGCGCGCTTTTTGAAAGGAAGCGTAATCTTACCATGATTTTACAATTTAGCTATTTTTCTGTTCGTACCAGGTAAACGATTCAGATTTCACGTTCAGATTTCTTGTTTGAGGATAGGAGGCTGGGTGCCTGTGTTAATCTTTTTCCAGTATATTTCTGTCTTTTTCCAAGCCCCTTTTGAACGAGCCAATTGATGATGCCGACACCATTACGTCTGGGAGTCAATTCCAGGCGCCGATTACTCGACGTGAGAACCAGCACTCTGTGGAGACTATTTTCGTTCTTTGCTTTTATGGTCTTCTATCATATCCTCTGGGGTGTTCCGACTTGGTGGGAAGGAAAAGCGAAGATAGATCAGGTTTGAAGTCATTTCTTAGAATCCTGTATGGTACAACTAGATCTACTCTCTGTCTGCGACAGGATAAAGTGAAGAGGTTCAGCTTCTTAAGTCGGTCTTCATAGGCGAGGCCAGCCATCGCATGGATCATACGAGTTTTTGTTCTCTGAACTCTTTCTAGAAGGTCTGCGTTATCTTTCAGACAAGGATTGGCCGCGTGTGTACAGTTTTCTAATTCAGACCCAACTAGGGATGTGTATAAGATGGTGAACATGTCACCACTCATTTTCGTAGACGTTCTATGTTACGCCCAGAGAGTCTTAAAACTCTGAGCTGCTGCCAGTCAGCAGTGGGCAGTGGTCTTTAAGTCACGATTCACTGAGACTCCTAGGTCATTGTGGGTCAGTACCGACGGTAAATGAGTCTCACCAATATCGTTGGTGTTACTGCATGTGTGCTCTGAATGGATGCTCACACATTTATCTGGATTGATAGGCATCAGCCACTTCTCTGACCAGGTAGACAAGCTGTTCAGGTCTGCCTGAAGTGCACGCATATCCTCATCATTCCTAATTTCCACCAGAATTTTATATCAACAGCGTAGAAAACCACAGGAAACTTCGTGATACTTGGCAGCTCGTTTACATGTAGGAGAAACAGCAGGGGACCCAGAACTGTGCCTTACGGCACTCCACTCTCTACCGACTTCCAAGTGGAGAGTTGAGAATCGGTCCTGACTCTTTGTCTCCTACCAGCAAGAAAGTTTCTTATCCGTGCGAGCAGACTACCAGTGATTCCAAAACTTTCGAATTTCCCGAGCAAACCGGAATGAGGTACTTTGCCGAACGCCTTGCTTAAGTCAATGAAAATGCCATTTACAGGTATCCTTTCATCTTTAGACCCAACCCAACTTTCTCTGACCGTAAGAAGGCTCGTCAAGCAGGAGAAAGTTCTTCGAAAACCATGCCGTGAACGAGACGACAGAGTGTTGCTCTCTGGGTAGACTATGACAGCCTTCTTAATTACTCTTTCTGAGATTTTCACCACAGTGCTAGCCAAACTCATTGGTCTGTAATTTGATGGGAGCTGCCTAAAACCTGCCTTGTGGATAGGTGTTACTGTGGCATCCTTCCAGTCATAACGGAGTGTACCTTCACTGAGAGACAGCCCGATAATAGCGCCAGAGGGCCGGCTACATACAGCGCAAGTTCTCTTATCAGCCTTGGGTGCAGCTCATCCGTTCCCGTTGATTTTTCCACCTCCAGATTACTTGACATCTGAAATACATCATCGCGATCGACATCCACAGAGCTTATTCTGTTGGTTTTCAATCCTTGTACTGTTGAACAAGTGTCCACAGAAGATTCCTGCGTGAAGACTTCGGCAAAATATTCAAGCGTGGCCTCTGCGTTTTCCCTATTGTCCTCAATCGAACAGTCAGTTTCGGTCCCATTGATTAGGACGGGTATACCACAATACATCTTGTTTCCATAGTTCATAAAGGAAAATAACCTCTTTGGATGTTGCAATGCAGCCTGGGCAAGACGTGCTGCAAGGCGTATTCGAGGCCGGTGGATAGCAGCGACACATTTATTGCGGGCCTCTTTGCAATCCTTCACCACTTCGGGTGTACCAAGGTGGGTGGCAGGACTCCAACACGTTTTCTTACGTCGTAGCAAGATTTGGACTTCGTGCCTTATCCACGGGAGACACTGTTTCCGTCCCCTCGGGACAGTCCACTGGGTGAACGGGCGGGTCACTCGTGCACATAACTGTTTGAAGGAGCACCACGCACCTTCAACTGAGGCTTCTGTATTGAGTGCTCAATCCTCCGAAGAGGCTGCCGGGTTACTAGCTCCCATATTCGGTTTCCATATGCTAGGTCTAGCTGGGGCATCCGCCCGGTACAAGACACCTGCTGTGAATATGAAGATGATCACAGAGTGATCACTTTTGCCAAAGGGTGCTAGATGCTGGATGAAGCATACGTCATCTCTGCGCGAGAATACGTAGCCTAGAGCTGATGCAGCGTGCCGATGATCATATCTGGTTGCTGTCCCAGTGTGTTGTATGAGGGCTAAGGAAATCGATGTTTCCACCAACCTGTGGTCAAAGGAATTTCGTGATGCTTTTATTGTCAGTCTATCCCAGTCGACCGATCGTGCGTTGAAGTCTCCTACAGCCAGACGCCGGCCTTCATTCGTACAGAGGGTCAGCTTATACGGGAGGGAGTCTGCTGCCCCACATTCAGGACGTCTGTACATTACGATCACGTTAACATCTCGCCCCTTGCATTTTAGTCGGTAGAGCAGCATTTCACGCATCCCACTTTCAAGCGCGTCTGTCTCTATGGCCTTTACAGTTAAGATATTCTTAATGTAAAAGATGACACCACCACCTTTGCGTGCTGACCTGTCGCTTCTAAAAGGGACGAATCCTTGCAAGTGTGTCTCATTGTCACTGATCCAAGAAGAGAACCAAGTTTCTGAGATAGCAATGATGTCAGTGCAATCGTTGCTTATCACACTGTGAAGCTCATTCCACCTGTTTAAGAGACTACGTGCATTTGTGTACAAGACAATGAAACTACCTGAACGAGTTTCCGTTCTATCCACAGAGGCTTCGGCATCATCTGTTGCCTAAACCTCACTACACGAAAACCCACTACATTCAAATCTTGCTCTCCAGCCGCTAATCTGGATTTTAGTTCTACCTCTGCTCCTCCTTTTTTGGTTCAATCAGTGGTTCGCAGGAACACTGTTGATCCTTGAAGTCTATGAGCATTCTTCAGAATCTGATCCCTCCCATCTGTTGACCTGAACACTACTTTAAGTAGCCGGGATTCATTTTCAGCAGTAAATGTCTCCTGTTTTCCCACTCTATTTATCTTGGGTAGGGTTTATCAAACCTTTTACTTTGCCAAGGTCATGTTCAAAACGTTTACGTGGCTCTGGATCTCTATTTTCTTCCACCCTGTGGAAGATTACGGATTTGTCAAGGAGCTCTACTTTGTCGTTGCTCTGTGGAGTGACAATGGCTGGTTCGGTGACCGTTATTTGCTTCTCAGCATGCTGTTCAGGCTTAGTTACTTGCCATTTTTCAGAGTCGGGTGTGCAAGGTATACTAAGGCCCGGTCAAGCGGCCTTGACCCCCAGAGCCTCATAACGGACTTGCGTCCCATTCTGTATGATTTTCGTCAATGACTGGGTTACCAAGGTGGGTGTAACCTGCGGTCTGCATGGTTCCGTCGTTGGAACTGATAGCGCTTCACCCCCGTTTCTTTCCTTTGAAGTAGACCTAGTCTTACGGTTGGCAGCAATCTGTGCTCAGGGCCTCACCTCTGGTACAGTTTTGGTTTGATCTGATAACGTAAAGATTACCGCTCTTTTTCAAGTTTTTCCGTTGATTTTTTTATACTTTACAACATTGGTGGCCAAACAGGCTTGCATGAGGCAGGGCTGTCACTAACCTGTTCAGGTGGGTACGCAGTGTACACATGCGACGGGTGGTTCCATGGTGCTTGCACAGACTTGACGCAAACTAAGTACACCAAACTCATCAAACCCAGCGGCAAGTGGCATTGCCGCTTGCTTAGATCTAAACTGGGCGATGTTCCTAAGAACAAGGGACTGGTTTTACGGAGGACATGATGCACCTCAGCAGTGTAATAACACCAACTGTCTTGCAAGCCTCCACTAGGATTTTGTCGTCAGCAGATGAGGCGCAAAACGAAACACTCATACCAAGCGAGGGTGCTCAAGATGAAGAATGGGCATCCATTATATGAAATAAGAACGGTCTAGCTTCAACCCTCATCAAATCCGTTGGGTCTGGGAAGGTGGGAAACACAAGAGCAAGCACAAGCAGGGTAACCCAGAAACTAGAAAGGCTAAGCCTGGGTCTGCAAGAAGGTGGAATGTACACCAGACCATGCGAATCGCTCACGAGCTTGTTGCCCGTGAACAAGGGCTAGGCTGGAGAAGAGACGAAGGCCTAACGAAAGACGCCCAAGCGTCAACAGTTGACGAGACAGACCACTGTCCGGGATGATCCTTTGATCATCACAAATCTGGCAGATAGCCCTGATCCTTCATACAACCTCCGGGAAGAAAATGATAGGGTTCTTTGGGAGAACACATGCAGAAAACTCAAGCTGGACCACAAAAAATCAGTAGCTGCGGCTGGGCTAATTCGCGGTCCCAATTCAATAACCGAGGGCAAGCCCTGTCTACGCCTACTTTGGTGGAAGAAACCTAATGGTACAAGGTGTACCAGAAAACCCAGGCATCGAGGGTATTCACTACGAATCTCATGAGTGGAAGTCCCTCATGAATACAATGCGGTACGTTTGAAATTGTGTTATATTTTAACGCGATTTCATAACTGTATCATAACTTTGTTATTTACGTCGCTATAAAGCTATTTTAGTTTTGAAATGATTAATCACACATCAGGTATGCAACCAGATATGGTTATTGAATGTAAAAAGATACGGACACAATTATCGGTAGAATAGTGCATCAACAGTACCCAAATGTTGGTAATACCAAAAGCAGGTTCCTCCCGAAACCGCATAAACGGGTCAGCCTATACTCCAGTTATGCTCAGGAGAAAAAGCGCTGTGTTAGATAAACTAATGAACGTTAATAACA